GGTAGTCTGGGTGGGTGGTAACAGGACACCACCGCAACGTCTCCATGCCGTAGCGATCTCACTGCTATCGCCACGGCCTCTGTGTTTTGAGTGCTCTTAACTGTTCTAGCCATGGAATGATGGTGCAAGGTCTATTTTTATTTGTTTTGAGCATAGATGCATGGAATACTTAATAATTCTATATTTTCTATGGTTTTGTGTGTTAAGACCACATACTTCTATATATAGATAGATAGAAGTATGTGGTTAAGACTGTTAAGTTAAGGTGCTGGAATGTTTATATAAATTATGTTAAAAAATTAAGGAATGCAGATTTTGATGGTGGTCTAGATTTTTTTTAAACTTAAAATGAGCTTCCTGAAAATAACTCGTCTGGGAATAATAGGAACTAGATATTATTCTAGTACATTGAAGAATGTTCCGTCAGTTTTGGCTCTGAAAGTTCAATCAAATTATGACCATAAAAGAAGTTATAAAAATTTTGGACACAAACCAGAGAAAGAACCATTGGTGTCAAAATTATGGTATTCATTTCTTCTGGTAATGTTTATCCTTCCTTCAATAAACTATAAATGGTAAACATTTTGCTATGTCTTAAGCTTTCACTTTTATAAGATTTATATCATTGTAGGGTAAAGCAGTTAATTTCGGTAAAAGCTGAAAGTGAAACTATAAAAGAAGGTATCGATTTAGAAAGTGAGGTAGGGGAAAGCAGCGAAGATGAAGTTAAAAAGAAGAAACATCGCCGAGAAAAAATTGGTTTCCGAGACAGAAAAGTAAGCCTCTAACTATCCTTAAACATAATAACTACCTTTTTTAAATAGTTTGGTCAAAGAAAATACATTCTTTGTGTAATAGTTATACAATTTAATTAATTAAATGTAATTTAAATACTTTATTTATTTGGCAATTTTCAATTACTTATTATATTTGGTCCCCCCCCAATACTTTTCGTGACATATAGGCTATATATTTTAAATTGGACCACAACTGATGTCTCCGATGTGGTGAGAGATGTAGAACAGTTTAATACAAACATTTAAATGATTTCCCAAATTATTTAAATATCTAAGGGTGGGTCAAAAAAAATCGACTATTTTTTTTTACTTTATACCCTGAAAAATAGGTTGCTAGACACCTCTAGAAAATTCTCTCCAAATATGAACAGATATGTTTAAACTATTTTTCTAGTTTTTTTTTAGTCGTAAGCATGTTTGGTTACATCGAAAAAAAATTAGTGCATTATTTCTGACTGAGAGTCAATCTTGGAAAAATAACGTTTTTGTTAGAAATTTATTATGAAAGGTATTAATCTTAAAGAAAAAAAAATGTTCAATTTGTTATTAAAAAGTTTTTTATTTAATTATCAAGCGAGTTATAAAATTTCAAATATTTTGGTTTTGTGCTGATTTTTTTTTTAACTTTTTTGTAATTTTAACCATTGAGTATGATAGCGAAGAATTTTTTTGACTGTATTAGGAGCTTCACTAGAAACTCAAATTTGTATAAATTTCCCTAAAACTCATAAACTAAATTGAAATTTTTCGAATTATTATTAATCAAAAACTGTTAAAATTGGCGTGCATTGAAGTTTGACGATGAATATCTTTTAAACGCTTTATTTAACTGACTAATCATAAGAGACCATTTTTGTAGAGCAGTTAATTTCCTACAAAACTATGAATTGCGCATTTCATAATGATTTTTTGTTAACGAGTTATAAAATTCATAAGCAAAACAGAAATTTGTCATAAAAATAATCAAACTTCAACCTTTAATATCTTTTAAACGGTGAGGTTTACGAAAAAATTGTAAGAGACCTTTTTTGTAGAGCGTTCAGTTTCCTACAAGTATATGAGGAGAGATATTTTTAACTAACAGTTGATAGAGATATTATTTTTTTTTCTAATACTGAGGAAAAAATGGAAAACTGTAAAGCGGAGGACCTTCCTATTAAAATTAAGAGCTCATATTTGGATAGAATTTTCTAGAGGTGTCTAGCAACCTATTTTTCAGAGTATAAAGTAAAAAAAAATTGTTGATTTTTTTTTACCCACCTTAATCTATCTACAATATACAATGGCTGATGTCATATCTAACAATTTTGTACTGTGCATTTACATACAGTTACATTATAATTGTAATGAATGAAATGAAAATTCAATGTCTGCTATCAATATTTGTAATTGGAAATCTATGTGTGAAAACGGCCATTTTATTAGACAATACAAGAAATAATGTAACATATTTTTTGCCCCATTGATATTAATAAATAGTTATCTATTGTATTTTATTTTGCTAATAGATAATTGAGTACGAAAACCGAATGAGAGCTTTTTCCACACCAGATAAAATATTTCGCTATTTTGCTACTGTAAAACTTACTCATGTTGATTTAACGGAAGTATATATGACTCCTGATGATTTTCTCAGAGCTATAACACCAGGGATGAAACAGCCTGACGGTAAATAATTGCTGCATTTTGTAATAACATTGCTTGGTGTTGGAAGCCACTAACTGACATTCTGGATGTGGAATATAGCTTCTACAATATAATTTACTAATAAAAATACACAATTTTAAAATTGGTAAATATGGGCTTAAAACGAGTTGAATGAATGAATTAAGGAAAAAATGATGATAAACATCCTTTTTTTTATTAAGCATCTGGTATATGCTTTGAAATTAAAAAAGTGCTTTTACTTCTGATTGTTTGTCAACACATATTTGGCAGATATATAATTACGGGAAATAATTTGAAAACTAGTGAATAATGGTAAATTATCTAAAAGTTACAGAATATTTTCATAACATTTTAATCAAAGCTATGTCAAAGTTTTAAGCCCATCTTTGTAATATAGTGTAAATATTACTTAAAAGGATATGTAAATCGAAAAACTACATAATACTTTTAAAACCTTTAGATATCAATCAGATATTGCTTAATAATTAACTATTTTCATGCATGCCGCCAGATAATCGAATATGAAAACCGTATTAGACACTACTCAACTCCAGATAAAGTTTTTCGTTATTTTGCAACTCTACAAGTACAAGGAGCTACAGCTGACCAACATGAAATTTATATGACACCAGATGACTTTTTAAGATCCATGACTCCTGGTCTGAAACAACCCGATGGTTAGTTTATAGTTGAATATAGGTAGTAAAAACAGATAGATATAATTTTATCAAAATTATAATTTACAGAGTTGGCATGTGGGAACAGACCACTTATTTATTTTTGTGAATTGATTTTAATTATTCAGAAAAAATAACATTGAACAAATATGAATTTGACAGGAAAAATAAAATTATAATTAGCATTATTTAGAGTTAGTAAAGAAATTAGTGGTAGTCTACTCTCAATGTCATCTTGTACATACAGGGTGATTCATTAACAATGGGAAAGTCGAAAGCCGAAGATACTACACGTGAAATGGTGACCATTGGCGCAAACATGCCTTATCCGAAAGTTGATAGTTTCGGAAATGTAGGGTGTTGAAAGTTAAAGTTTTAAATCGTTTTTTTGCGATTATTCTGAAAATATGTAGGTTAGGAACTTGAAAATTTTTGAAACTATATTTTTTTCGGCGACGAATAAGATGCGTGTTGTAATTTCAGCATTGCTNGTTTTTTTGCGATTATTCTGAAAATATGTAGGTTAGGAACTTGAAAATTTGTGAAACTATATTTTTTTCGGCGACGAATAAGATGCGTGTTGTAATTTCAGCATTGCTCATAGAGGGTGCCACTTTCGACCAATTTTACCGAAAATTTAATTAATAACTTTTTACCCTGTATATTTAACGTGAAACTTGATTCAAAACCTGAAAGAGCTATCATTTTTCCATTAATTATGTACTCTTGTTTCATTTCGGTATCTCGCTCCGTTTTCGAGAAAAATCGATTTTACGAACACTATGTTTTGATAATATGAGAAATTAAAGGCGAAACAAACCAAGTGCTTCTTCGTGTTATTACAACAATTAACAATAAAACAAATGAAATTCGTAATAATGATTTAAAGTCAGTGTTTGAAGAATCCTCCGTTGACACTGATACACTTTACAAGTTTTCTGAGATCTTCGAGTTTGAAACAACATATTGGGATTGCGTCTGACTTGGCAGCGATTTGTATTCTTTGCCATAACTCTTCACACGAGCCAATAGATTCTTTATAAACTATATCTATCATTTGAGACCAAATAGAAAAATCAAGAGGATTGAAGTCCGGACTTCTGGATGGCCAAGCAAAAATGCTTACATAGCCAATCCAGCGGCCAAGAAAAATGCAGTGGAGCTCCGTCGTGCATGAACCACATGTCTCTTCATAAATAAAATCAGAAATAAAATGTAATAACACGCAGAAGCACTTGGTTTGTTTCGTTTTTAATTTCTTGTATTATCAAAACATAGTGTTCGTTAAATCGATTTTTCTCAAAAACGGATCGAGATTGGTCGTAAGTGGCGCCCTCTATGGAGCAATGCTGAAATTACAATATGCATCTTATTCGTCGCCTAAAAAAATATAGTTTCACAAATTTCACAAGTTCCTAACCTACATATTTTCAGAATAATTGCAAAAAAACGATTTCAAATTTTAACTTTCAACACCCTGTATTTCCTAAACTATCAACTTTCGGATAAGGCATGTTTGCGCCAATGGTCACCATTTCACGTGTAGTATCTTCAGCTTTCGATTTTCCCATTGTTGATGAATCACCCTGTATATGATATAGTTAATAGTTATATAATATATATATATTATATAATTTATAATTCTATTAGTAATGCATGTTTAAAAATTGTAGGATATGATTAAATCGATGGTACCAAATTATAAATATACCTTAAGCTTGTTCTACTTTAAATTTTTCACCCAATAAATTGTACAAGAAATTGTCACAGCATGCCATTTTATATATGGCAATAAATTGATTAAATTACTGACCATTGAGATTATAATCTATAATTACAGATAAGTCAAAGTACGGGCTGACGCTTGCCTACAAATTTTGACGTTTGTAGGCCTTCAGAGCTAACTAATTAACTTCACTAGCGAGTTATTTACAATTATGTAATACAATTCATTCATAGTTAAACATGCTTTTTAAAACGAGTTAGATAATATTTAATTAATATTATTAAGAACTTCTTAATTTAAATATAAATCTGTGATATAAATAAATGAAGGTGCTAAAACGTCAAAATTGTAAAAGGTAGTCAAAATTTTTTAATGTAGTTAATACTGGTACTAGGTACTATAAATTAGAACTGGTTCTATCGTTTTCTGTTTCCTTTCTGTGTATTCAAACTAAATTTTCAACAATTTGTATATATTAGACTTGCCAATATAAAATTGCCAATTTTCTGATCAATTTGTTGACTGAAAAATTAATAAATATAAAACAGGCAATAGTTATATGCATATCCTATTATGAAAGTTTTTCATTTGTAATGTAGATTTGTTTTTTCTCAGTTTTTACAAATTGAAGAAAAAAGTAACTGTTTTATATACAGACGTTATTTTTTATCTTAAATCCTGGGAGGGAGAGGTAATAACCTTCATTTAAAATTAAGATTACTTGAAAAATAAGGATTTATATTTGTTCATCCAAAGTAATTATATATTTTAATCATTAAATTAACAGGTACTAGGGAAATTAAGAAAAAAATTGAGTTTTTGAAAATTTTATTTTGCCAATCGTTCTTGTTTAAAAAATAAGTTGACTTAATTAAAAAATGATAAAAATGGAATAAATTGCATTATACAGGGTAGGAAAGTACCGATGGTCTATCTGAAGTTACGTGAGAGCGATAAAGTAAGCCATAGAAATCCATGCGATAGAGAAGGATGGCTATAATGAAGGCGTCTTTTAGTCACCGCCCGTTTCGCCCTTCCACAAATAAGATCCATTTCTTATTTGTAGAAGGGCGAAATGGGCGTTGACTATTAGACGCCTTCATTATAGCCATCCTTGTCTATCACATGGATTTCTATGGCTTACTTTATCGCTCTCACGTAACTCTATCGCATGGATTTCTATGGCTTACTTTATCGCTCTCACGTAACTTTTGATAGACCATCGGTACTTTCCTACACTGTATAAAATTCAACTGTTTTCAAGCATTAATATCACTTATTTGATAAATTTTATAAAATAATTATGTTTCTTTATTTTATTTTTTAAATTACTGTTTTGTATTACTTCTTTTTCTAAATAAATTGATTTATGATATAAACTTAATAAGAAATCAAAATAAATTGTTAAAAAATTAAGCTTTGCATTACGAATTTCTATTTAGATGCACATTTTAACTTTTGCTCCGAAAGGAAAAAAAAAGTGTATCTAAACCAATATTTGGCAACATTAGGCAAAATACTTCTATAGAGATTTCTATACATATTAAGGAGGATTATTGGGTACATCTTAAGTCAAATGAGAGTTTCTGTAGATTCACTAGTGACTAAAGTAGTAAGCCTTTACATTTGACAACGTTTCACTTCGCTGGCGCGCTCGGCTTGGCTTCGCTCGCTCGCGTTCGATCACTCTGTTTGGATGCCTAAGCTTGAAATATACATTATAATGTCACACCAGCGCATTTCAAATAATACGCTACGTCGAGAATCGCGGCGTTGCCGCTATCACGCATGTGGAGGTTAAGTTAGTCAACGACAGCAGTTTGAAAGAGAATTATTATAAATTACTAGCTTTTACCCGCGGCTTCGCTCGCAAAGTGATAGAAAATCTTTCGTAAAAAATATATTTTTTTTTTTAATAAAAAGTATCCTATGTTACTTCTAATACCTCCAAGAATATGTGTATAAAGTTTCATGATGATCGGTTAAGTATTAAGTAGGGATATTATTATATTATTAAATATTATCATTATTAGTAGGCTTCGCTCGCGGGTAAATAAATATAGAAAATCTTCTGTAAAAAATATTTTTTTTAATAGGAAGTACCCTATGTTACTTCTAATACCTCCAAGAATATGTGTACAAAGTTTCATGATGATCGGTTAAGTAGTTTTCGCATGAAAGCGTAACAAACAAACTTACATTCACATTTATAATATTAGTAGGGATATATTACTATTATTATTATTATTAGTAGGCTTCGCTCGCGGGTAAATAAATATAGAAAATCTTTTGTAAAAATTTTTTTTAATAAAAAGTATCCCATGTTACTTCTAACACCTCCAAGAATATGTGTACAAAGTTTCATGATGATCAGTTAAGTAGTTTTCGCGTGAAAGCGTAACAAACAAACTTACATTCACATGTATAATATTAGTAGGGATGTATCTAACAAGTACCTAAATAATCGATTTCTATGAGCTGTCATACGGTTCCTTAGATATCGGTTTCCTATTTATACAGGTTGTTGTGGAAACTGTTCGTCAGTTGTTGCACATTCTAAGTGGAAAGACCAAAAAAAAAATCTGCATTTTCATAAGACTTTGTACTACATTATGAAAAATTATTTTATTAATATCTTGTCACTTAGGTATCCAAAGTAGACATAATTTTTTTTGAGGACTTTCTTCATATTAATAAGCTTATATTAATTATTTTATGAATATTTGTTTGTCAATACATATCAGATAAACCTCCTTAAGTTGAAAATGTTAATAAAAAACATGTAAATAAAATAAAAATTATTAGTAAAGGGCTGAAAGTTAGTACGTATTGGTAAATCAAATTCATTTGAGTTTTGAGGGTAGCATGCACAGTGAGAAAGTATTAATGGGGACTATACCTTTATGAAGGGTTACCTAGTGCCTGTATTAACGTCTACATCAAGTTTTGACTTGAATGTTAGGGTTTAAGTAAAACTTGTACAATTATGACTATCTAAAAAATAATTGTTTTCTCCGATATTTTTTGAGAAATAACAGTATTTTTTGTTTTTTCAAAAATTTTACAGATATAAAAAATTATATGATTGCTTATTTTTTAAGTAAGAATGATTAGCCAAGTCGAATTTATAAAATCAATTTTTCTTTTCCCGTATGATCTGTACTGGATTGTTGATATTAGTTTGTAGTATAAAATACTTTTCTCTTTAATCGCGACCATTTTTTTTTTATTTAATGCTTTCCCTGTCAGTAGCGCTACTTTTTATAACTGCACATTTCCACATCTTTTAACTGCTATAGCTTTTTAATTAGCTCAGTTACACTAACAATATACATACAGTGTGTTCTGTTTACAGAGTAACTACCTCCGTAACTATTATTTATTGATTGATTTTAACAAACTTTTTTTTAAACAGATTTAGTGCAAGTATATCAGGAATGTCCCATCCACTTTATAATTCAAAATTATGGCAAACTGTGACACGTTGGTACAAAATTGAAGTAGGTACCATTAGGGGCTTTTTATAGAAATCATTTTTACACACCCTTACCCAAGGCAACTTAAAACATAAATGTACCAATTGTAGTTTAGTCAAAAAAAAATGTTTTTTAGATTGCTTAAACTTTAGAAAAATTGCAATTATGTCAGACTTTTAAAGCCTGCTCCCATTCTCTAGTAATCTGTTAATTATGTTAAACACAGTGTACTGCAATACAAATATATGTTGAATAAGTTCTTGCTATTTTTTCGTGAAAATTTACTTTATAAAAAAAAAAGTAAAAAACAAGTCACTGAAAGTATTGTCCATTGCTAGTCACTACTTTTTCCTATCTCTCTGGCAGCATTTTAATTCCATGTTAGAAAACGACAGATCTTTTGAGGCTATTCAAGAGTCGACCCATTTCTTGGCATCTTCATAAGAATGGAAGTGCTGTTCAACCAGGCCATGTACCATCGATTGGAACAAGTGAAAGGGCAATGTCTAATGAATATGGCCAGTAGGATAGAACTTCCCTTTTAAGCGTGTTCAAGCTGGTTTTCACTGATTTTGTAAACAATGCCTCCAATTCTTCATTTTCAAACTGTTTCGGTGCGCCAGAGAGTTCTTTTATCTTCATCATCAAAATCATTATTTTTTAAGTGTCTACACTAATCTCTGCATGTTGTTTGTGATAGTGCATGGAATTTTGTGTGCTTCAGCTGCAGATTTCTTTTGAAAAAAGGGATGCAGTAAAATTTTATGCAAATACTCTTTTTTTGTCATGAAATTCAACATGTTTAACATAAAAAAAGTAGTTTACACTTCGGGAAATAACATTCACTAAATTTCAAGTTTGCTTATAGTACTTCTTTATAGCCGTGTCACCATCATAAACTACACGCATGCAGTTAGGTAAATCCATCTATTGGAAAACAGCAAGAATTTATTCAACGTCCCCATACTACAAACGGTGGTATATTTATGCTTCAAAACTTTTCTTTACAGATACATTTTCATGAGATATTTCTATTAAAAAAAGTTCATTGAAATCGATCAATAAATATCTGGCTAATCCTTAAGCTAAACACACCTTGTATGTGTTGTACATGTAAAATATTATTTACTTCTACTTTAGACTAGATTTCCAATTTGTGTAATATAATTACCAAGTTTGTACAAAATAATTACCATTTTAAAAATGCATTTTGAACATCTGGTAGTGCTGGAAAAAAGCAATGCATTTATGGATACAATAATATTTTCACTATAGATTGATAGTAATTTATTTAACTGAAAATAAAGTAGTAGTGACACTGCATGACAAACTGATATTAACTGATGTAAAAAAAATGGTAAATGTTAGTTTTTAATATAAATAATATAAACATGTAAATAAATACATCTGTACTTTTTAGGTCTAGGATTAGATCAGTACAAAAGATACGACCCTAAGGTAAGAAAATTTTTAATAATAAATAATTTTAAAATCTCATAATTATGTTATAAATATTCAGTTGTATTTTCTTATTTTTGGATCTTGTACATTACTTATATCTACTATGTCAATAAATCTTGAGTACTTTTATTTATTTCAGCACGGTTTCCAGGTAATTAAACTCTATCTACAATGCCTCTTTTGCATGCAACATTTTTTGACGCATGACTTTAATATATACGAGTAAATAATTGGCTTTTGAATTTGACTATTTTTCTGCCTGAACTGAAAACTTTTGAAATTTAACAGTAGTTGATGTGCGCAAATTCTAGTACAATCTAAAAGCAGTATGTTTTCCAAGTCCATGTCATAACTTTCCTTGAATCGTTTCGTACTAAAAAATCTTAATGAATCAATAGTTTTAAGTTAGTTTTCAAGATGCAGAAAATTTAAAATATATATCACGTTTATTCAAATATCTGTGTTTAACTTAGGTTGAAGAAAGTTGCGCTAATGATGTCATAATTAAAGAAAAAAATTCTTTGAATTTATAATTCGGTTGTTGAGAAATTGGGAGACTATCAGTAAGATTCCCAAAAGTTTGACAACACAGCATTTTGGAAATCGGATAGGTCCTAATGTTATTTGTAAGAATAAAAAAATCACACTGATGAATAGGGCTGTCAGAACTGAGCCGTGGGACATAGGTGTATGCATTATTTATTAAAAAGCAACAATTTAAATTGTTTGCACCATCAGAAACACCATCGAATAGGATTAATTGTACAATATCCGCATACTATATACTACTACTATACTATACTAACGTGATGTGCATTTTGAGGCACGCAGTTGACTAGCGGCTCTCTCTGACAGCCTTACTGATGATTGAATTTATATCTCTAAAAAGAACGTACAATTTTTTTTTTATTGTAATTTTAAATATGTACAGTGTAATCATAAAAGTCCAAAAAAATAATTGACAAATTTTTAATTTTTTTGGCATTTGCTATACCAATTGACTTATTTGAATTTTTGTTAATTATAAAATAAAAATAAAATTTTCAGTTAAATTAAAGTAAGTATATGGCTTTTTTTTACTGATTATTAACATATTATTTTGCAAAATTAATATATTAGGTGATGTTCGTGAAAAGGAACATAAAGTTTTGTTTTAATTACAATTTTAAGTATGTACGGAGTGTAATCAGCAAAAGTCCAAAAAAATAATTGACAAATTTTTAATTTTTTTTGGCATCTGCCGCTTTATTTCTAGATAATTAACAATTTCTATACAAATGACTTTTTTGGACTGTTGACTGTTGGATTTAAAATGTTTGTAGTTACTTTTTTTACCCAATAGTTTTAGACATATTTTAAACTTATCCAGCTCTGTGATATGTGTCAAATTTAAACAAAAATAGTTTGAATCATTTTTTTATTTTCTAAGAAATGACAGTAGGGATTAAATACATTATCCAATTTCCAGAATATTTAATGGTGTGTGGATGATGTATTTGTAAACCAATTTAGTCAATTTTTTGCTTTTAATTAATTGTAAGGTAAGTACATTATTAGCTCAACTTTTTTTTAAAATTTAGTCCCTGAATCTTGAATATCAGTGGTTCTGTTAGGCTTTTTGGTTTAAGATGATCCAAGGAACAACTTCTTGGAACTTTGAAAACATCCTGTATAAAAGGTTTGCGGCAGAATACACAGCTGGAATTAAATTTGTTATATGTATACTTGTATCTATAGAATTTACTTTAATAGAATATTTTATACAGGGTGTCAAAAAAATGGTGTAACAAATTTCAAGCAATAGTAGTTGTCAAAATAACGGAAAAAGTGTTTGTGACTGTATCCTCTAAAATGCAAGCTATAACCCCCTGAAAAATAGAATATTGAAAATATAAATGTTATCACAAATTCAATGGTAATGAAATAAAATTAATACCCGAATCAGAAAGCAGTTTAGGCATTGTTCGGGTGTAGTTTTCCATCATAACTTGTTTATTTTCTACTTATTCAAAAAATTAACTGAAAATTTAAAAAATTGGACGGTTTTTAATTAAAAAAGTATATGGACATAAGTAATGCATTCTGATAATATAATTAATGCAATATTTTGGCAGTATAAAAGATCATTTTCATTTTACGTAATATTGACCAGATTTGAAATATTGCTTTTAAAATACATTTTGCTAACAGCTGTAGCAAAATAAAATTTAATTTTTCAGTTGATTCTCTAAGTATTTGTAGCTCTTTTGTAACACATTTTAGGGTATATGAGGTGTGACAGAAAATAACCGGACCGATGCTACAAAACATTTTTTTTATCACCAATTATATTGGAAAATTTATCACCTTCAATGTACTCTCCTTGCTGATCTCTACAACGCTCCATATGAATTTTCCACGGTAAAAACAGTGCTGGAAGTTCGCTTTTGTCAGCTTGTGGACTGGAGAACCACCATAACTTTTGCTTTCACCGCTTCCACACTGTCAAAACTTGTCCCCTTAGGCTCTGATTTAACCTTAGGAAATAAAAAAAGTCATAGGGAGCCAGGTTGGACGAGTATGGTGGATGTTCCAACATGCTGATGCCGTATTTTGTGAAGATCGCCTTCACAGACAAGGTGGAATGGGCTGGCTCTTCCACAAATCGGGTCTTTGTCTCCTCACTCATTCACGAAGGGTTGTCAAAACCTCGACATAATAATGTTGGTTGACTGTCTGACCTTCAGGGATCCAGTGAATGTAGACAATTCCACGCTTGTCAAAAAAGACAATCGTCACGGCTTTAAATTTTGATGTGTTCATTTTCGCTTTTTTTTGAAGTGGTGAACGTTGTTTAAAAGGTCGGCTCAAATGTTTGTTCTCGAATTCTTCTGCTGTGGAGTGAGAAGTTTGGGCACCAGTTCTGAGCAAACTTTGTGCATGTTGAATGCATGCAAAGTCTGACAAGACACTTTCTTTGTTCATTCCCGAAATTTCAGTTTTTGATGTTGAGGGTCATCCAGGGCACAGATCGTCTTCAATTCACGTCTCTCCTTAAATCTTTTACACCACTCAAATACTTGTGTGCGTGATAAACATTAACTTCCATACATATCCTTTAACATGGTATGAGCTTCTGTGGCAGTTTTGCCGAGTTTCACAAGAAACTTGAGGTTAACTTGTTGCTCCATTTGAACACTTTGCATTTTTCCAACGAGACGCTAGCGCAATGATTGAACGGATAATTGCTACAGCGAGACTGAGCAACATGCAACCACCTTGACCATTAAGCTCAGGGTGGGGGAACCTTCAAGCACAGGCATGTTTAAACCTCCCACGACGCTCACTGTTTGCTGGTAGCAGCACCAGTCTGGTTATTTTATTGCCACACCTCCTATGTTCATTTGAAATTTTTCATATATTTTGATGAATTCTACTAGGCCTCGAAGTTTATTAGACATTTTTTGACACACTATACCATTAGATTAATCAACTAAATTTTCTGATTGCAAATCTGAAAATGTAATAATACAGGGTGATTCAGAACTTATCCAAAAAAAATTGGAAATAGATGCGGCATGAGAAATGGAGTCAATATCGTAAAATAGTTTCCGAGAAAAAAATTATTGAAGTTATAGTACATTCAACGACTACATAGCTGGACAACTGTAGTCTCTAGCGTCATTCGCAATGCGCGTGGAGAGCCACGTGGCTTCAGCGACTAATACTGAAATCGGATTTTGCAATCGTCGTTGCAATAGTATTTACCTGTTATCTGTTCAATAGTTTTTTTAGTAGTTAGTGTCAAAAATGGGTAGTTAGGCCGGTCGCAAACACGGCCACTTGTGCTCGCCACTAGTGGCTGTTAGACCCATCGCAAACACAGCCACTTGTTACGACTTCTGCCATAACGTGTGGCTGGGTCGAGCCACTGCCAACGCTGTTTGCGCTGAATCTATTTAAACTACATACAAAATACAGTCTGCAGCGTGTGGCAGCCACTAGTGGCGACCACAAGTGGCCGTGTTTGCGACCGGCACAGCCACTAGTGGCGACCACAAGTGTCAAAAATGGTTTGCGTGTATAGTAACTCGGAGTTCATGGATATCGTTTTAATTTATGGTGAAGCATTTGTGATATGGTGAAGCAAAACAACATTTGTGTTAGTTTGTAGAAAATGAGTAAGACGGACCCAAATGTGTTTACACGTTGGTGGATAAAATTTTGAACAATTGTAATAGTCCTGTAGCCAGAGGGGTCCCAATTGCCTCCTTCATTTAGATGGAGTTACCCAAGTGTTTTTTATGTATTTTCTTATTATTTGACCCATTTTAAGAAGAAAATGTGTCTTGCAATTTTTTTGTTAAACGCATAGTTTTCGAGATAAACGCCGTTAAAAACTCAAAAAATGCGATTTTTGCGATTTTCAATTGTTAATAACTTTTGATTGAATAGGTATTTTGTAATTCTGCTGACGGCGTTTGAAAATTCATGTTAAATACTACAAATTATGAGTAATTGCAGTGTGAACATTTGTATTTTCCACTGTTATTTGAAGCTATAAACAAATAGCAATTGAGCATTCAGAAGGGTGCGCCGCCATATATGTAAGAGAGCGGTTGCCTTCTTATAGGTGTTTAATACACGATCTTCACGCGTACTCTTCATTTCTAGACTAATGAAACGATGAAAACTGAATGAAACATTAACAATTTAAGGAAAATTTGCAATATTACAATAATTAAAATTATTATACAAGTTTAAAAAACAATAATTATAAAAACACCTAAATTATACGACATTACGCTTTTAATATAAGTAAGTATAAACTTTTTTATTATCGTTTATAAAGCAAAGTAGGCACAAAGACGAGAGCTTTGAAATCAAACCCTGTGGAATATTTACGAAATTTTGCTAAGGGTAAATATGACTTTTTGGCAAAATAACTGTAATACTTTTCTTTCTTCATTTTGAAATTATTTTGCAGATTGTTCCGACATAAGTATAAAAGATAGCGTGAAAAAAGCTGAAGAGTTCTTAGTTAACATTATAAGAAATGTTGATTGTAGTTGTAAATCATTTAATGAATTAAGGGTTTGGATTTATAAACACAAAAATTCTATAATAGAAAATTTGCCACCGACTTCTGATTCGATTAGACTTCACATCTTACGGGCTTTTTACGTTGTTCATATTCAAACGAATGTTTTAAATTCACATATGAACGAATTAGACCCAACTTCATATGGATTTTTTATTAAAGACGATCTACTGTTGCCAGAGAGGGTAAACATCTTAATACCACCTCCCGAAGAATTACCAGCTGCCTGCAATTGTGCAATGTGCAGCACAAAAGCATGTAATTGCAATCGACTTCAAATATCTTGCTGCACTTTCTGTGCATGTATGAAAAAAAATACTTGTAAGAATAAAAATATTTGAAACTTTTACAGTTTAGAAAATCGTACATAAAATTATATTTGTATAATAATTTTAATTATTGTAATATTGCAAATTTTCATTAAATTGTTAATGTTTCGTTCAGTTTTCATCGTTTCTTTGGTCTAGAAATGAAGAGTACGCGTCAAGATCGTGTATTAAACGCCTGTAAGAAGGCAACCGCTCTCTTACATACATGGCGGCGCACCCTTCTGAACGCTCAATCGCTATTTGTTTATAGCTTCAAATAACAGTGGAAAAAACAAATTTTCACACTGCAATTACTCATAATTTGTAGTATTTAACGTGAACTTTCAAACGCCGTCAGCAGAATTACAAAATACCTATTCAATCAAAAGTTATTAACAATTGAAAATCGCAAAAATCGCATTTTTCGAGTTTTTAACGGCGTTTATCTCGAAAACTATGCGTTTAACAAAAAAATTGCAAGAGACATTTTCTTCTTAAAATTGGTCAAATAACAAGAAAGTACTTTTTATTTTGCCAAAAACTAAGTGTTCAGTATTTTGCAATTTTTTTGTTAATAAAAAACTTATCGACATCCGGGCAAACTTCTACCCAAAAAATTCGTGTTCTGCAGCTCAAAATACATAAAAAACACTTGGGTAACTCCATCTAAATGAAGGAGGCAATTGGGACCCCCCTGGCTACAGGACTATAACATGGGGTATGTCAAATGATTTTATTATTTAAAAACACAAATTAATTGTATTAATTAATAAAAGCAAAAGCAGTCAAATTTGCCGATATAAAATAGGTGCGATAAAATTCTATTTACATATTTCTTTCCTTACGAAAGTTTTTGTCCGTTTTTATCACACCGCCATACCGGTCGCATTGTGTCAGGTCAGGTTTTACAGTGGACCAGTTTCCAGTGCCGTACAGAAGTGTATTTTTAAATCATTTTCGAACTGCCCTTTTTGATTTTTTTACAAAATTGTATTTGTAAGGGTCCCCTGTACATCCAGAATTTTTTTTTGGATAAGTTCTGAATCACCCTGTATAATTCAAAGTTTATTGTTATTGATCTTAAAATGATAATTCCAATTTCGTAATATTTTTTTATTCTGTGTATTTTGTTAAAGACCAGCAATTTACACTGCTCAATACGGATATCTGGTGCATTTACAATGTGCTAAAAATATATATATTTTTTGCTGATTCATCTCACCGAATAAAGTGATTTGAGCAGTGTTAATATATTGGCAGTGCTTTTATTTTTAGAAGCTGCATTTTTCTGTGATATAAATTGTGTTCAGCATATAAATTTTTTTTATAAAAGTTATATTTTTTGTCTGAAGTATTTGTAACTGTATATATATATATTTTTTATATATTATATATATTTGTTATATTTTTAATTATATAAAATTTTGAAAATATTTCTGTTTTTTGGCTTATAGACAGTACAACAGAAACTTGAATTAACACTAGATGAGGATAGTATTTTCTTCAAATTGGGAAGATCTGGACTTATTACATTTTCTGATTATATATTCCTCTTAACTGTTTTATCCAGTGAGTATATGTAAAAATACAGATTGTAAAATATAATGCAGCCTTGAAATTTACCGTTTTCAAAGTATGAAAAAAATACAAGGAATTCCATTTAAAAATATGTAACTTACATCAAGATCACATTCAGTAAATTTTCCTAATAATGAATTTTTGAAGCCCCCAGTAAAAATACACTTATAAGAAACTTTTCCTAAAGCCAATAATAAATAAGTTGCCACAATCAATTTGAGTGGGAAATCCTTACTAAACTAGTTCATTTTGGACAACATATAAATTCATTATCGAAAAAAAATTATAAAGTAAAAATAAAATTATCAGGTAATTTAAAGTATATGTTTTTTTACTGATTATTAGCATATTATTTTGCAAAATTAATATATTTGATGATGGCCCTGAAAAAAATTTCCTACAAAATTTGGACAAAAATATAAGTAAATAAAAAGTCAACGAGATTAATTTTTATCATTCACTATTTTGCAGCTTCACGTAGACATTTTGAGATTGCTTTTCGAATGTTTGATTTGAATGGAGATGGAGATGTAGACTGTGAAGAATTTGAAAAAGTCGCAACTTTAATCAGACAACAGACAAGTATTGGGTCTAGGCACAGAGATCATGCTAATACAGGAAATACTTTTAAGGTATATGAATAAATTAATTACATATGATAATTATATTGTGCAACCTTTAAGTCTAACTTTTAAATGATCTGTATAACTTTTTAAGTATTTGAAAATGTTTAATGTAATTTATCATGGTATTTACAGGGTGTGAATTCGGCTCTGACAACATATTTCTTTGGGCCCAGTTTAAAACAAAAACTTACTATAGAGAAATTTTTGGATTTTCAAGAGAAATTGCAAAGAGAAATTTTAAGCTTGGAATTTCACAGAAAAAATCCCGATGAAAATGGAAATATATCTGAAGCTGATTTTACAGAACTTCTATTAGCTTATGCTGGATATCCCCAAAAGAAAAAAGCTAGAATGCTTAAAAGAGTAAAGAAAACGTAAGCAGTGGGAAAATACTGTATTCCATTAAAATGTGCTTTCCATAAAATCGTATTTGTCGTGTTTCAGAGATTTTTCAATAAATTTTTATTTACAAATTTAATAAGGATGACTAATTTTGGTCAGGACACTTCATATATTTTACGAACTATTAATTGTATATATTACGTACAGTTTAGAGAAATACAAGCATAGTTTACAATCAGTTATTGTACCTAACCGCAGTACGATTAAAACTGACACTATATATTTTTACTTTTTTGTAACTGTGGTGTGAATATAATATTGTGTCTAAGTGCATGTGGTGAAATCGGGATTGTGACTGAGGATATCAAGGCATACAGGGAGGTCCAGATTTTAATAGACAAACTTCGGGAAAGTACTGAACAACAAAAATTAACATCACTTTGCTTTTTGAACATAGGCGTAGAAAGCCACCGTTTATGAGATACAGGGCGTTGAAATTAACAAAAATAAAACAATTTTTTTAAATATCTGGAAAACGGCTTTATCAAATTTATCCAAATTTGGTACACATTTTTTATCAAATATTTCCCCTAGTTTTGTGTGCACATAGTTCAAATTCAAAGACCATTGTCGGAGAAACAAGGATGTCGTTTTCTTATCTAAACTAAAACTTCTACGCCACTGAATTAATTGGTAATTTGAATACATTTTATAAAGGTCTGAAACATTCCGGATGAAAAAACATTCTTTTATTTTTATCGAAAAGTGAATGGTTTACGAGTTATGAGACATATTCAAGTAAACAAAGCAAAAGTAAACAAGTTGAAATTAACAAAAATAAAATAATTTTTTACCGCATCAAAATATGTCTCATCATAATATGTCTCATAACTCGTAAACCATTCACTTTTCTTCATTAATTCAGTGGCATAAAAGTTTTACTTTGAATAAGGAAACGATATCATTGTTTCTCCGCCATTGGTTTTTGAATTTGGACTGTGTGGATACAGAACTAGGAGAAATATTTGAAGAAAAGTTTGTACCAAATTTGGATAAATTTGTGAAGCGATTTTTCATATATTAAAAAAATTGTTTTACTTTTGTTAATTTCAACGCTCTGTATCTCACAAAAGGTGGCTTTCTGCGCCTATGTTCATAGAGCAATGTGATGTTAATTTTTGTTGTTTAGTGCTTTCTCAAAGTTTCTTTGTTAAAAATCTGGACTACCCAAATTCGTTTTATTTTTCCCTACCTCAACGCTTTATTTACTTGGATAATGTCTCATAACTCATAAATCATTCACTTTTCGACAAAAATAAAAGAATGTTTTTTCATCCGGAATATTTCAGACCGTTATAAAATGTATTCATATTACCAATTAATTCAGTGGTGTAGAAGTTTTACTCTAAATAAGGAAACAACGTCCTTGTTTTCCGCCACTGGTTTTTAAATTTGGACTGTGTGCATACAGAACTAGGAGAAATATTTGAAAAAAAATGTGTACCAAATTTGGATAAATTTTATGAAGCGGTTTTCCAGATATTTAAAAAAATTGTTTATTTTTGATAATTTCAACGCCCTGTTTCTCATAAAGGGTGGCTTTCTGTGCCTATGTTCATAGAGCAAAGTGATGTCAATTTTTGTTGTTTAGTACTTTCCCGAAGTTTGTCTATTAAAATCTGGACCACCATGTATATTGTAATAGAAACGCAACAACTTTCTCTTGTTTTCCTAATAGTTACCACACTTCCAGAACTCGCACAGTCTAAATATCTTTATATTATTACAACAAAATAGAGAAAAAAAACGGAAATATTTATCATTAATAAGTGTATACATGCAGTTATTTCAATTATTGGCTAATAAAAAAGTCATATAAATGGTCTCAAAGCTTTACTTTAACCAACTTTGTATATCTTACAGCTTCTGAAATCAATATAGTAAGTATCGAATTTGTAACAGCCTCTATGACAATAATATTTTCATTCTAAAAATGTAGTAGTAATATAATATTACTTAATATTGTTTCTAATATCTATTTACATATATCTAATTAAATGTCTCCATTATTTTTGTTTAAATTGGTAACAAAATAAGTAAAGCAATATGATGATTGAAGTTTCAAAGAACACAGATATCGGGTAAGTGCATTAGCCGAAAAGGAAGAGTAGCCTTGAGTTACAATACAGTAGAATTTTTTATTAAATTGAACAACGGTTTAATAATGTGGGCTGATCAGTTGCTTAATAGAAGTTGCTCATTTTTGTGCCCTCTTTTCAAGGAACGCACTTATTTCAGAAACACCCTGTATGTTATTTTTCGAACAACCCAGGTATAACTTATTTTACAAATCAGCTCCAAATATCTTATGGACTGTACAAGTGCTAATGATAAGTTTTGCCAAATTTTAATGGCATATTCTACCGATGAAAATAATCAAGTTTTGCCCTATAAAATTTTTTGATAGGACGCTTCCTTACGGAGATACAGGGTGTTAAAAGTTTCAAATATATATATTATATTTTATTTTAAGTTCACTGGCATAAAAGATTGAGGGATAAAATTTGGGGGATGACATTTTTTAGTAGGGACTATTTTTTCATGGATTATTGGGAGAGTAGGGGACCTTTTTTGAGGAAGAATCGTACGCCATTGGTTTTTTAAATAATTTTAAATTTCTTTAAAATGTACAATCAATTTGTGGCTATAAAGTATTCTTGTAAAGTATTCATAAAATTTACTGGTCTTTAGATAATTGGGAAATCAAATAAGAAGATACTTAAGTACCTATGTTGCTATTTCCATTTTCTATTGATTGCTAAATGTGTAACAATAAATTCAATACCTAATATTTTTGAGAGATTTCATAACTACAACGCCAAGACAAACGGAACATGAGCGAGATATCCTGGGGTAACTTGTGATATTTGGATACAGCTATTACACAGTACAGAACTAAGCTGGCTTATAAGCACACAATGTCCATATTCACACCACTTTTATAATTAAAATTGAAAGGTGAACTGAAAACTGATCATTCATTAAACAATCTATGTTTTTTCCAAAAACTTTTACCATTTATCTTTTAATTTTTATTTTAGTTTCAGAGACCATGGACAAGGAATATCTAGACAAGACTATTTAAATTTCTTTCATTTTCTAAATAATATTAATGATGTTGACACAGCATTGACTTTCTATCACATTGCTGGTGCCTCAATTGATCAACAAACCCTAAAACATGTAGCAAAAACAGTTGCTCATGTCGATCTCAGTGATCACGTTATACATGTAGTTTTCACAATTTTTGATGAGAATCGTAAGTATCATTATTGAAATATATTACATATTTACATTATATTAAATAAAAAATATAGTATTTATGGTATTTAAACTACATGTACTATTGGCTAAATGCTTTAATCACCAAGAATAATAATTCATAATTTTACAAATATGTATATCAATTTCATTTTTTATTTTTATTTATTTATTTTCTTTTCAGAGGACGGTCAGCTGAGTAACAAAGAATTTATAGCTGTGATGAAAAATCGTTTACTGAGAGGTTTAGAAAAACCTAAGGATACAGGATTTGTCAAATTTGTGCAATCTATCCTTAAATGTGCTAAAGAAACTAAACCAGCATTGCTAGATATTTAATTTATTTGTTGGTTGCTGTGTTATTGAAATTATGTAGCTAATATTTAATGTATTTATTTGAAAAGGATTGTTTAATTTTAATTTTGAAGTGTGATTAGATTTAGAACAGGTACATTTTTTTTAAATATAAAAATTTTAACAATTTACTTTTTTAAATATGTTTTCCAAATTATAAAATATAGTACACAGGGTGGACCTAAATTATGTCCCAATATTTTGAGGATGGAATCTACAGGATCATTTACATAACATTATTCTTCTCATTGCTCTATCTCTTCAATCATATTCACATGCTTATTGTTTTGTGATGTTACGCCAGCCTCTTAATTTTATTTTAAATCATAAGCTTGAATCGCAATATTGCATTTAAAAAAAATTACAACTTATTCTTTTGTTTATTATTGAATTTACATTTTGAATACCTTACCTACTATTAGAATATTGATGATCACTGGTTCTTATATAAAAGATATATGTCGGCTAAACAATAGTGTGAACATAGCATTACCCTTCCAATTGGGAGTGGTGCTGATTTCAGTTAAAATAATTTAACTGGCGGCAGCGCATAATCTAAGGGTTAGTTCTAACCGAAAAGGCAGTTCTTAAAAAAAATGTTAGTTCTAAAAGTTAAAAAGGACAGTTGCAAAATTTGATTGCTTGAAGTACCTACTATGAAATTGAAATTTCATGACATAATTATTTACGGTTTGATTTTTTTTACGTAACCCATTTATTATATTTCTTCAAAAAAATGGTATTTTTATTTACAACACACATGCAATATGCAAACTCTTAACTGATAATAGTGTAGGGTCAACATGTGTCACTCTAACATAATATAGGCGAAATTTGAAAAACCTTTTTTAACAATATATAAACATGAAACCCAAAACTCAAAAACCCCAGGAAAAGCAAATGTAGTATACACTGGTAGGTTTCTTCTATATTGTTTATAAAGCACAGCACTCGCTTTTACTGGGCTTTTGGATTTAGAATTTACTGTCTGGCATTTATAAATAGTAGTGCATCTTTTTTTTTTGGAGGGGGGGGGGTATTAGGCTTTATGTTGGGAACAATGTGTTATATTTCAGGTGCTTTCTTTGAACTACCATAGGGTGATTGCTTTTGGGTAGTTCTTAAAATTCCTTAGATTGTTCCCTGACTGACGGATTTGATTCATAAGTCCTCCTCCCGTTGTCCCTACTTTTCTGTCTATACTGTGGATAAAACCTTTCACCATTCGATATACAGAACAAGAGGGTCTGTCTTATGGAGTTTATACAAGGAGTGGAGACTCATTGGTCACACATACAATTTCAGATTCCGTTTTACAGCCCAAAGTAAAGTTTAAAGAATAGCCCTTGTAGTGCTGATGCACTGGAGTCTGGTAACGAAGTTGCGCTTACAATGACGGACACAGTAGATAAGCGGAAGGACTTATTTAATATTTATAAAAAATTAAAGTTACGTTTACACACAATATGTCAAGTTTCTTGCGTATCTTTTTCATAATCTACTTAATTACATCAGCGCCGCATTTACCAGTGTCCCAAGAAATGGCTCACTTTTTTTTAGTCTTCACTCCTTGTACATATAAACTTCACTTCCGCTACATTCTCGGCCGCTGGGATGCTGCCTCCAGTAGTCATGAT